ACTTCCGCGGGAGGTAGTAGCTGCGGGATGAGGGCTGCTGTCACCCCCTGTGCCACCCAGGTGGCATCGCCAGGCACAGCTAGTCACCCAAAAAAGGGCAGGACCCTCGGCGATGCCCCCCCCATGAGTGGTGACATGGGGAACATGGGGCATGATGGCAGTGCCACCCCGAGCGGGCACCCACCCTGTGTCCTCCATGATACAGCCCAGCCACGAGTCCGGACACCGGCAGTCCCCTGGGAGGAGAGGAGAGGGGCTGGGGTGCCGGCTGTCCCACCATCGGCTTGGTGGCACCGCGGTGTCCTCTCATCGTCCCCATCTCCCAGGGGGGTGGCGGGTACCTGCAGCCACACGGTGCTTGTTCCACATCATGCCCACATTCTGCCCCAGCGTCTGCGCCAGCGTCACTGCCATGGCCGCCACGTTGCCGTACTGCGCGGGAGGGACGAGGGAGTCACCTGAGGGAGCCCCCTCCCCAGCCTGCTCTCATGGGGGGCTCATAGCACCCACCTCGTTGACACCCCCCGCGCGGGTGGGCGAGCAGATGCCCCCCACGAAGGCAGTGCCACTGCGGCTGCTCTGAAACGTCCGACCCCTGCGAGGAAGAAGACAGTGGGGATGGGGACGGCAGCTCCTGGCCCTGGGCAGGTGACGGGGCCGCAGCACTCACGAGAAGAGGTGGACAGTGTCACTCTGCTGTGCCAGCCCGTCACGCCGGTACTTCACAAACTCGTTCAAGGTCTCCAGGGAGTCTTGTCCCATCCGGATCCGGTCCTCCGAGGCCCATGTCTCCATGGCCACCAGCACGATGCGCGTGTTGAGCTGCTCCTTATAGATCTGCAGGGGTGAGGAGACAGCGCCGGGGACAAACCCTGGCCCAGAACAAACCCACGAAGTGCTGGGGACCAACTTCCCCGGGGATAAACCCCGCCAGGGACAACCCTGCCAGGGACAAACCCTTTGGGGACTAACTCCCTGGGGATGATTACTCTAGGACCTGGGCACAGCCCCCTCCACAGGGACAATCCCCCAGAAACAAACCACCAGTGGGACCAACCCACCAGGTGCTGAGGACCAACCCCTCAGGGATAGACCCCCCAGGGACAAGCCCACTGAGGACCAACCCCTGGGAAAGAACACCCACCCCCGGGACAAACCCTCTCACCATGTCGGCCAGGTTGACCACAGACTTGGCAAAGTTGCTGGTGAGAACCACAGA